TACAGTAGGGTAATCACTTATGGGTCTCGGCAACTGAACCCTCATGAGTGGAATTACCCTACCCATGACTTGGAGTTGGCAGGCATTACCTTTGCTCTAAAAATATGGCGTCACTACTTGCTTGGGCAAACTTTTGAAATTTATACCGATCACAAGAGTTTGAAGTATATCTTCTCATAAAGGGAGTTAAATATGAGACAGAGATGTTGGATGGATCTCCTGAAGGACTATGACTGCAAGATCGTCTATCACCCTGGTAGAGGAAATGTAGCCGCTAATGCACTAAGCCAATAGGAGTTTGCAGTGTTGGCTCAAACCATGGCATCTAGTTAGAAATTGATGGACGCTATGCAGTCTCTTTGCCTTAGCTACTATAGCAAAGGCACCTATCTTGCTCATATCTGAGCCCTACCAAATCTCTTCATGAAAATCAGGGAAGCTCAATCCACAAACCCATAACTCACCAAAAATCTCGGTAAGTTCACTTCTGACGAATTTCTTGATTTTAGGATTTCAGATAATGGACTGTTCAGATTTTGAAACCAAATTTGGGTCCCCATTGCTGTTAGGGGAAATGTTTTCAAGACCGCCCATACTTGTAAGCTATCCATCGATCCCGAGAGTATCAAAATGTATCGGGACTTGAAGCATCAGTACTGGTGGTCGAGAATGAAGAAGGATATAGTCGACAATGTCTCCTGATGCCTTACTTGTCAGAGGATTAAGGTAGAACATCAGAGACCCGGTGGTTTGTTACTATGAATTTTATCACAAGATTTCCTAGAATTTGTTCTAGTCGAAATGTTATTTAGGTCATTGTTGACAGACTGACCAAGACCACCCACTTTCTGCCTATCAAAACCACTGACACTACTAGCAAATTAGCTCGCCTATATGTTGATGAAATTGTTCGACTTCATGGTGTTCCCTCATCCATAGTGTCCGATCGTGATCCCCGATTCACCTCCCACTTATAGTACAGCTTTCAGGAAGCTCTAGGATCTTGATTATTTTAGTACTGCTTATCATCCTCAAACGGATGGTCAGTCAGAATACACAATCCAGACATTGGAAGACATGTTGCGTGCTTGCATCCTTAACTTTGGCAATAACTAGTATGAGTACCTTCTCTTGTATGAATTTGCTTATAATAACAGTTATCATTCTAACATTGGCATGGCTCCGTATGAAGCATTGTATGGAAGGCCTTGCCGTTCTCCCACTTGTTGGAGTGAGGTCAGAAACCAGCACCATTTTGGACCAAACTTCATTTAGGAAACCATTGAGAAGGTCGCAATCATCTGCAAGAACTTGACCATTGCCCAGAGCCGTCAAAAGAGCTACACTAATAATCATAGGCGACACTTGGAATTTGCTATGGGAGACCAGGTTTTCTCAAGGTTTTCCCCTACAAGGGAAAAATGCAGTTTGGGAAAAGAGTGAAGTTAAGCCCTCGATACGTGGGACCTTTTTAGATCATTGAGCGCATTGGACCCGTGGCATACTGCCTCGCTCTATCCTTAAAGTTTACACGTCTACATGACATCTCTCACGTCTCGATGCTAAAGAGGTACCATCCTGGCCCTTCTCATATTATTCCTCGTGATGAGGTACAGGTACAAGCCGACATGACTTCTGAAGAGGTTCCTGTGGAGATTTTTAGGTGGACTGACAAAGTCTTACACAACAAGACGATTCCCATGGTGAAGGCGCGATGGCAACATCATACCCTAGAAGAAGCAACATGGGAGTTGAAAAACGAGATGAGGGAGAAGTATCTAGACATGTTCAAGACAAATTTTGGAATCAAATTTTTCTAAGGTGGGGGGGGGATATAACACCTCGTCCGTCGTTGTGGCATTTATTCATTCTTGTTTTTTCATCCTAATCACCAAAATTCTCAATTACATGTTAATTATGAGTTTGTTAGGGAGGATTTGTTTAGAGTTTTGAGTTATCTATGCTAAATGTATATGTGGGATTCTGGATGTAATCTTTGATCCTCAGGTTCTGCATCAGTTTAGTATCAAATCTTTAGCCTTAGATAAATCTCTAGGTATCCTTTGTGTTTGATTTATCTAAGTTTATCTTCTTGTTCTTGTTTATTTAAACTATTCAACTTCTATCCTTGTTATTCTTAATTCTAGTTACACCTTGTTCTTCAATTTTGTGTTCTGTCTTTCATATTTTGTTTTTATTAGCCAAATTTAAAGAAAAATCAAAAGAAAAGGATAAAAAAGAGAAAATGAAGAAAAAAAATATTAGAATTAGTTTCTATTGAAAATTCAGACTTATCAATTTCTTTTAGCATCAGGTGTGTTCGTTGAACTTTCAATTTTATCCATCTTAGTTAAAGTGCATCTATTTCACACATATCACCTCACAATAGCATAGTTTTTATCCTTTAGAGTTTAGCTTACATTGGGAATAGATTATGGGTTATAATTTGAATAAATTTATTAATGCAGATGCAACTAGTTTCCTCAAAACCCAACAGAAAAAACATGAAACTATTATATAAACCAGCTATCATCACATGACAAATCTTACCTTGTGCATGTTATTTAGTACGATAAATTCTATGACCTGATTTTTTGGTGAGATTTTTAATAATAATTGTAATATAAAAAAAGAAAAATATTATTATACTAAGAAAACTAATAGATCAAAAAAATTTAAAAAAGATAATATTTTCTATATTACTAAAAAGTTTTATAGATCAAAGAAAAACAAAGAAAAGAAATACTGAAATAAGATTCCACAAAGATTTCTTATCCTTTCACCTACACAACAGCAAATATCTTTGTCCTGTTTTTCCTTTGGTTTGACAGCAACCAAACATCAACCTTACACATTCTTGATCTTATCATTATCATTCTTAATGTTCCATACTCACAATAAACCTACTAAAAAAACAAAAAAAGTGCTTGAGAAAGACTTATTATATTCTCTTTTAAAGAAAAACAATGATGAACACATTGCATGAGAGGCTACATCTGCCAATCCAATGCTTTTCATCAGGCTGGACTTTCACTAACTCCAT